ACTAGTATGAGATTTTCTTGTTGATGCTGCTACTGGTTGTCTCTGAAACTGTACACCACAAATCGCAAAGTCTTGTTTCCATTCTATTGGTATATTGTTTTGTTTATCAGAGCACACCCGAGGCCAAATCATAAAGTTGTCAATCCCAAACGTGAAGGCTTGTTGTATTCTATCATAAACCATTGTCGTTCCCACTATAATGTTTGCATTGTGTAATATAACATAACTCCTAGAACCCCTGAACACCCAAACCCAAACACTGCAAGCCCTCTTTTCACCACTCTGGGCTGCGCCAACGCTTCCTGCCGCCGGCGCCGTACTCCTCAAAATCCCTTCCATCCTCAGATATGTTTCGGCCATACATCAAAACCCCCAGGAACTCATCACAAAATAAATATGAGTTACAAAATGCTGTGTACCTGAATAATTTTAATCTATGCATAATACATAATATATATATATATATGTATATATATATGTATATATCATATATAGCTTAGATTTGAATATTGTATTTATCATTCAAGTTACATCATAATAGTCGATTAACCCCATGAGTTAGTCCAATGTGCGACGGCCGGCATCGTAGTCATCATATCGCCCACGCCCACGCCCCTTCTCGTACCCCTTGTCGAAACCCTTGCCATAGCCTTTGTCGTACCCATACTCCTCCTCCCACTCCCAGCCTTTCCCGTAGCCATAGCCAGGATCGTAGTACCAGCCGCCGCCGCCGCCGTCGCCTTTGTAGTCGCCTTTGCCTTTGTAGTCGCCTTTGCCGCCGTCGCCTTTGTAGTCGCCCTTGTAGTCGCCTTTGCCTTTGCCTTTGTAGTCGCCTTTGCCGCCGTCGCCTTTGTGGCCGCCTTTCCAGCCGTGATCGTCACTGCCACGCGCAGGCGTGCGCCCGCGCCGACCGCCTCAGTGGGATCATGTTATTGGTCCTGAAAGACATAAATCCCAAATCCCAACGAAACAACATAGACACCCCAACAACTCTGGGCTTTAAGTCAAGCTGCTCCCGCTCTCAGACGCCGGCGCCTGGTTGGACCGCTGCTTCAAAATATCGATGCGTTCCGACATCGCCCGCGTCAAATTCGCGCTGCGGTTGCCCCACTCGGGCAGCCCAGTGTCAAGCTTGCGAGCTTCTTAGTGCATCGAAACAATTCCAAATAGCTTTGGGTTCGAGGGTACTAGGGGTTCCGGGGGGGGGGGTTGAAACAAGAGCTTGTTTTGGATTCCTGCTATGTTTTCTTAAAAGCTTCATCATTCTTAGGGCCAATTGGCTTCAAGGTCTGGGGGTGTAGGGGTTTGGATTGCTCTAGCCCAAATACCAGCCAAGCTGCTGTCGACAAAGCCGACAATCTCGCTCGCCTTCGCCACGCCGCCCGCCATGAGCACCATCGCCGACGCCACCTTAGTTTGGGGGCAAGTTCATGGTGCCCAGGTCCAATCCATAAACCAGTTTTAACATTAGAAGTTGGCGTTTCCTCTAACAGGCTTTCAAAGCTAGTCTTGTGATTCAGGGTTACTCAGGAGAATCCAGGGTTTTAGAACTTAGAAGCCATTAATAATTATTAAAATAAATCTAAGTCTATTGGGATCAGGAAGGATAACATAAGCCTGGGAACCGACCATGTCCGCTGATCAACCTCCAGCTCTTCCAGGACACTGTAAAGCGCCGGCGAATGGCTCAGGACACTTTGGCGCACCTTCCAGGATTCCAGCTTAACTACTTATAGGCCTTAGACCCCTTAGCCTTGGAAAGGTGATTGGTTAAGAATTGCTTGACACCCAAAGTGCAAACATGTGTTACCCCACATATATAACCGAACCTATGCCTAAGTACTAAACCCACAACAGCAACTTTTTACAACAACACCGAGCCAGATCCGTAGCAGCCGCCGGCGCCGCCGCCGCCGCCGGCGCCGCCGCCGCCGCCTGGGAGCCCTTGGAGTCACCCTTCGTCGTTGGCATCGCCTTCGCCGGCGGAGCCGCCGCTGCTGGCGGTGCCTTCGTCGTCGCCGGCGCCTTGGGTGGGGAGTCCGCCTTAATGCCGAGCTTCCTCCCCACCTCGTTCACCGCCGCGATGATTTTGTCCTTGCCCCTCTGTGTGAGAGGGATATCGCCAACGCCATACACCCCCGTCTCACTGTGGGAGGGCAGTTCAAACTGAAGGTTGAAAAGGATCGCCAGCGCCACCGCCACGCTCGCCGACCTGTGCTTCCCCGCCGCACCTGATGAAAGGCTTAAATGACTTGAGGTTTAGAGCTCCAATGAAAATTACAGAAAAAAACTAAGAAAAAACTAGGCTGTATACAATCAGGGTGCAGATCAGCTGCACCAGCACCGGCGCCTTCCAGAGATCGCCATCGAACGCCGCCAACCCCTTGAGGTAACCAAGAAGCATCGCCACCGCCGTAATGAACGCCCGCATAAAGCCAGGCTCGTCCATCATCGCCAAGAGGAAATCCTCGTTCTTCTGAGGATTCCACTCGCCTGGGTGGGCATCCGTAGCAAATTATTAAACTTTAACCACGAACCCTCAACTGAACTCAAGCGGTGTCCCTACTCCCAAATACAAGAAACAACGTATACCTGAAAATCCAAGTCTCCCTTCACCGCCCGGGACGGCCCGGGCGACTTGGATCGCCCGCGCGTCCCCGCCGACGCCGACGCCTTCGCCTGCCCCTTCTCCTGCTCCCTGGCAGGGTCTTTCATCATTTGCCTCACGTCAAGCGACATGTGGACGTGATCCGGGTAGGTCCGCTTCAGATACCCAGTCATCATCGACCTCCCTTTTCCGCCAGCGCCTCCGCATTGAGGCCCAAATATCAAAACCCAAATAGTATAAGAATGTAGCTATTGCTTGGAGAAGTACGGTATGATGCTTATCATCCGCATAAGTCTCCACATTGGTATTGCTATTACTAGAACTATCGAAAATTCATAGTACTGACTTAAAGTTGGTATGACTTATTATTATATCACATAAGTGAACAGATTTCATAAATAAGACTATTTCTTAATCAGACTCAAGGCACCGGTCGCCTTGTACTCGTGCTCCGCCCCCCATGCTATGATGAAGCTTCCATCCGGGATCGCCGGCATGGAGGGCAGGCCAGGAAACGCCACAGGCGGCATGGCTGCGAGTACGCCTACGCCTACGCCTACGAATGCGCCTACGCCTACGAATGCGCCTACACCTGCGCCTAAACCTGCGCCTGCACCTGCGCCTACGCCTTGCGCCTACGCCTTGCGCCTACGCCTTCAACTACCTGCGCCTGCAATCGCCTAGGCCTAGGTAGCTGTGAGTGTAAGTGTCACCTTATCGGAATCAGTCGCCTAAGCGCTCATCGCCAATGCCCATGAACCTAGGAACTGAATCTGAAATAAAACATCTAAAGTCGAAGGTAAGCCTAATGATTAAAATGGTAACATGACATGTCCAAAGTCCTAAGGGCTGACGCTGAAATGTTACGGTAGCCGCACATGCCCCTCAAACCCAAATCCCTCCCGCAAATAACCCCCTACCCCAAACCCGAGTCTGACACCCGACAACACCCAATGCACACAACCCTTGACCCGAAACTCCCTAAGTGAAGCTTTAAACTCTAAACCATCCATAATCCAAACCTTATATAAACCCTTACTACAGCCTAACCCCTTTGAATACTTAAAAGCCCCCACTCTCCCCGGGCACCTCGATGTTGTCGACGGCGCCCAGCGATGGAGGGGCGCCCAGCGGCGGACCATTCTCTATTGGGGCTCAAGGTCTTAGGGCTTGGGGTTTAGGGGGCTTTTGGTTGAGGGTTCACGGTTTACAATTCAGGGTTTAAAGGGGTTTTTCAATTTAGGGTCTAAGTACACTAACTAGTACAGGGCTTCTTTAGGGGTTCGTTGCATCGGGTTTGAATGGGGGGTTTAGGGATTTCGGGCTTCAAGTTCTACAAGCCCTAAATTCAAACCTTGCTATTAGAACTAAATCCCAATACTTGAGCCTTCAATAATACAGGTACTTTGACGCCTGAGTATGTACTGCATAGCCCGGAACCCTATTTTAAACCCCTGAAACCGTAAAACCTAAACCCTAATTGAAAGACCCCTTAAACCCTTTTTTTACTACTGGGCTTGGGGCTAGCCAGATCCTTAAACACTGAACCTTGAACCCTGAACCCTGAACCCTCAACCAAAAGCCCCCTAAACCCCAAACCCTAAGACCTTCAGCCCCAATAGACAGGGTCTGAAATCTGAATAACAATAACAACAACTACTACTACGATTATAATTACATAAGAGTATCAGAATACAGTGCTAGTTAGTGTACTTAGACCCTAAACTGAAAAACCCTTAAACCCTGAACCCTAAACCGTGAACCCTCAACCAAAAGCCCCCTGAACCCCAAATCTTAAGACCTTGAGCCCCAAGGTCTGAAATCTGAATAATAGTAGTCATAACAACAACAACAACAACAACAACAACAACAACAACTACTACTACTACTACTACCACGACTAATCTCTTAATGACTTCTTCTGTAGTGACTTGATCCAAGGCCGGGCAAAAAAAGGCAAAAATAAAAAATGTCCGAAAGCAACACCTAGTATAAGCGGCTTAAGAGTCTAAGGGCTTGGGGCATGGAGCATAGATGTAAGTCTACTGCAAAGCCCTGTGAAACCCTCAGCTCAGAACACAGTTTAAAACAAGAACTCAGGGATCCCGGAATGAAACTGCGGATATTGCCCAGATCTTCAACTGCGGGTGAAACGAAGCACTTACACAACTGCGCAAACGCTGCAGCCTGTAGTCGGAAACACTCCAACCCTAAAGCGCGATTCCCTAAACACTTAACACCTGCGTGCGGCCCCCACTCAGTAGTAGTTTAATAATGTTCATAATATAGATATATTCGGACCTGAATAGTAGCCCTATATTATCGACTCTTACTGTATGGGGGCAGTGCCTAACTTAACACAGACGATCGCGACACGTGCCAACCCATGAGCCTTCATGGCGACAAAGACGGCATCAGCCAAGACTTTTGCTGGCAAGCCCTCTTCCATCAAGTCCTGGCCAAACACAAAACCAGGACCCTCCTTGTACCCTCAGATAGGGGTATATGGTCCCAAATAATGGGCATTTAGGGTCTAATAGAGGGTAGATGGAGGGTCTAGGAGAAACAACAACCTTGCGATGATCAGGTGTTTTAGGGTTGAGGGTTTAGGGTGCCTGGGGAAACAAAAAAAGTGGGCTTGAGCTGCGGAGGCATGTATTGTTGGAGCGTACCATGGGTTGAAGTGCGACGGTCGTGTGATCATTTCGGCCTTTGCTTAAACCAGTCTTTGCCGAAGCAACAGTACCTCATCCCACCCCTGAGGTGGAGTCCAACATATCATCTTGCGGGGCCTTGTAAGGGTCACTCCGTCTATGGTGTTCAAGGATCAGTAAACCTCTTCGGACGATTCTCCCTCCCGTCCACTCAGAAACCGACAGAGTTAAGAACCCCAGCCCTGAAACTAGACTTTCGAGGCCTCATTGGCTAGACGGGGTTCTTAGGTGATATAATGCTACAACTATGGACTATAAGCTGCTTCAGGTTCCCAAAGGAACAATAGTAACAAATGATCCGTCCTGCTTCTAGATGAACCGTTAAGCGAGAAAAGACTGCGCGAGGAAAGCCTCATCAATTTCGACTCCGAGGGGAGCCAGATCTCCGCTGACGACCACCTTCACCCGGCCTGGCGTCGGCACGTTGGTGTTTAGGGCTATTCGGTTATGGGGAGGTGTTTACTTTGTTTTTGTTTGGAGGGGGTGGGGGGGTTGGGATTCTTCGGTTGTGGTGGTTTTAGCTTTTGGGGTGTAGGGTTATGGGACACAGGGCTTTTGGGGCTCATGGTTCTTCTGCATCGTAACTCTCTTACATCACAAAAGCTGAGGCCAAACTTACCAACATCAAGCATTCAGCGTGCCCCGCACAAAGTCCTGCACAGTAGGTGTTTCTTACTCCGCGGTTTAGGGTTTAGGGTTTCGACTCGCACACTCGCTCTCGGGTTTAGGGTTTAGGGTACTCCGAAGCATCTTGAACCATGCTTCTATAGAGGGTGGAAATCTTCAGTGCATCGGCAGCTTCCCACCAAAAGCCTGAGCCCTCAGAATCCCAAACCCTTTTCTCAAAACACGAAGGCCTATCAGAAACTGCAACTGCAAAAGCTGCGAGCAAAAGCAATGAGCCGTTCACACGGTTTCAGCCTGGCCCAAACGACACGAGAGAAGTCAACCCTGAGCTATGGCATGGCCGTATCTCTAAAACGCAACATCTAATGTAGGGGCCGTAATAATTAAACTAGCATTTTGGCATGATTTTGGCTCCTTTTGCAGTGCAGCCATAATCAGGAACCCTAAGGAATATCATCGGCATTTTTAAGCCTATATATGTTCACAGTCGTTCCTCCCAGAGCGGTGCCAGTGGAGGGTGTCTCTCGAAGCCGCTTTTGGAGCTCCGGCAACTTCTTGGCTGCCTCTCTTCGCTTCAGGGGTTCGGCTTTAGCGTTTAGGGCTTGGGGCCTTTTAAGTTTAGGGGCTTAGAGTTTAGGGGTTTAGGATTTAGAGTTTAGGGTTTGCGGCCTTGTAGGTTTCGGGGTTTAGGGGTTTAGGAGGGCCTCAGGAACAGTTCTCGTGAAGTTGCGAAACCACATAAAACCGTTGACGGTGCCAACCGTGCTCAATCCTGAAAGCATAGGCCCTGGTAATGGTACAATGCACAGGCACAACGAAGTCCTTAAATCCACTCTTGCAGATCCCAACTAGAAATAGCAAGCTTGGCTGTTCGAAACCCTACAAGGCATACTTTGTGTCTGAGCTTCTTGAAAGGCTGCAATGCGAAACTGCCCATGGTCTTCAACTGTTGATGGATGTCGGCAACCCTTCAGTTGAGGGTGGGTTTGAGTGTTGTGGTTGAGGGCGTAGGGTTTGAGTGTTATTCCCTCTAAAACGCTAGAACCCTAAGTTTAGGCTTAGGGCAGTTTGGGGCTTGGGGTGCAGGATTGTCTTGGCATTATACCAAATCTGTGAAAACACGATGATGCAGCCACTAATACCAATCCCCGCACGATGCCATGCGTTTAGGGGTTCGATGCGGGTTTCTGCAGCTTTGGAGGTTCGACGCTCTTGTTGGGTAGTACGCCTCAAAGCCTGACCCTCCCCCAAGCCCTATCCCCATGTCCCTATTACGATTCTCCTTATAGTCGCTATTTGAGGGCCTTAAACCCCAAACCCTATCAACTTACAGCCCCTATCGTGGTTCTCATGGTTCCAGTGATGGTTCTCCTTCTAAGCCTTACTCTGGTCTATAGTCGCCTGAATAATTAGAATAGGGTTTTGAGGCCCGCCCCCTCAAATAGTAGTGGTAATTCTTTAGGCTTCTATGGTATCTCGCTGCAAAATCACCGAGATGGCCGCCTCTTGCATCTTCCCAATATTGCCCAGCAAGTCTCCTCAACTGGGGGGGGGCTTATTTGAAGGTACCATCACAGGGATCTATGACAAACAAGATGGCTTCCATATAGGGATCGACAATAGGGGTACCATCATAGGGATCTGTAATACATAATATGGTTTGCTTATATAACAAGAACCCAGCTCACATGAAGACTTTGGGTTCATAAGGGTCTACACTCTCGCAACTCGGAGAAGCCAGAGGTCGCTCGGTTCCCGAACCAGCTTTCTTGCATACCGTAAGGGTCCAAGTACCTAGTTATCATATACTCTCCAAAATAGTAACCTATATAACTACTATCCGAATCCTAAACCCCAGTACCTAATAATTGGGTCCTTTGGACCCTTAGAGAACCCCAGTCTCAAAACCCCAAACCCTTTTGCAGCTAGGCTCCTACCCCAAAACCGAAAACTAAAGCGCTTTTGAGCCACAACCACAAAAAAAACTCTGAAACCCCAAAAGCCGAGAGGCCAAACCCCAAACCCTACAACCACAAAACCCCTGAAATCCTAACAGCCTACAGTAATCCCCCTGAAACCCTAAACCCAGCCACGAAAATCCTGAAACCTAAACCCTGAATCCCTACAATACCCTTATAGTCTATAGCTATGATATACCCATTATATAGCCCATTGATAGGGTAGGTCCCCATTAAGGGTCCCCCCTTTTGTAACAGCCGAGAGGCCAAAAGGGGATTAAAGATTCTTGGGGTGGGCATTCCTTAATATATAACCCTATTATGGGAACCCTAGTCCCTACTAAACCCCCATAGGCTAAAACCAAAAGCCGAGAGGCCAAAGTTAGGAGCCGCAAACCTTGCGGTTGCCGAGGCCGAACCGCGGCCCCGCGAGGAAAGCGCGCAAAAAGCCGAGCCGGCGACTGCGACTTCTTTAGGGCTTCGGGAGTTTTCAGGGCTTTGGGATTTTTAGGGCCTTCTATGGGGGGTTTATAAGATTTAAGGGCTTTAGGGTTTAAGGGCTTTCGGGGTTTAGGGGTTTGTAGGGGTCTATAGGGTGGAGTTTTTGGGATTTAAGGGCTTTCCAGCTTTAGGGGTAGAGGGTTTTAGGGCAGGTTCGGGTGTTAAAAGTCCCAGAATTTTTTTCTATCAACCTTCCGAAAGAACTCTACGAAATATGATGCAAAATAAACGTCGTAAGCGCGTCCATCACTTATGGACTGCTTCAGCGTGTCCATGACGGCAGTTATGGTGGCGTGGCAACGGTGCGAAGCGGTGGCGACACCTCAACCCAGCTGGAAAGAACTAACATGTCAACAAACGATCATCTTCTGCAATACTCCTGCAATCGACGCATCAAGAAAGAGCATCAATGCATCATCACCAACAACCATTATCGACAGCATCGGGTGTGAAACACCTTCATCATGGGCAACAGCAACAATAACATTTCGACTCTTTCCATGAGCATGGTGGTAACAACAGGTTTCACCGATTGTATCATCGGCTTTTTAGCACAGCGGTTATCCGTCGCACAAAAAAAAGGAACCAGTTACACTGGCAGCCTTGTCACTCTGATATCTGCTCAGCAGCAATGAGAGCCATTAGCAACAATCGACACACAAAAAAACAAACGGCTAGAAAGGGAATGCACAGCATCAGCTGCAGTTTGCAATGTCGAGCCAGTTAAGATATTGGTACGGGCATATGACTGTTGTATCACTGTTTTCTCAGGTTGTCGATCCAGCAGAGCGGCATGGCATTTAACACTGGTGTGAGCATGACTTCCCTAGCATCAAGCCAGTCATCAGCAGTAGACTAGTCACTCGTCACTCCTTTTACTTGGGAGGTCGTCTTCTGCACCCTCGCTTTCGCTTCATTGATCAGTACTGCGCTATTCCACAATTCGATGCTTCCGGCATGCAGCCGTAACATGTCAGAGGAGGGTCTATGTCTATGCATCTATTTTTAGCACTCCCGCTCGAGAGGCTCAGAAGACCAACCTGGGTCGATGTAATTACTTCTCGAAAACAGAACTGCGCGCAGCACCCAGCCTGCAAATACCAGTGCTGCCAGCAGGACACCGACTCGCCCATGCCGCGACGCCATGAGGACAGTGATGCTTTCAGGTTTCTTAGCAGAACCAAGCACGGACAAAAAGATGTCGCATGCATCACGATCGTGTGGGTGAAAGCTTGACAAGACATTTGAGCTGCTCTTCATGCTGGAAGCAGTTGCCGACCATACCTGACCTGCCCTGTACGAAGTATGTCGGGTCATAAACGCTTCTAAGACCGTTGCGACCTTGCGAGTTTAGTTCTCTACTGGACATCTTGCGCGTGAAAGGACCCGCGGCAATTCCACCGGACTAATTGTTGACTATTGCTGACCCCTTGTGAAATCCATGCACGATTATGCAGGAATTCGTATTATCTTCGGAGCTGCAAAAACCTTTTTGAAACCATGCTTCTCCTAACTGTCCCTCAAATGACGTGTGCACTCTGACCTGATTACATGCACAAGATTGAGGGCCCATGTCTTGCGCTAGAGACACAGCTCATTCTCGGATTGTGCGAAGTGTCACTTGTTACCCAAGGATCCCATCACCCTCGAGACTGCAACCTGCAGCTAGGGACTGCGGCCATAGGCCGCACGCCCGAACGTTGTCTGCAATTTCCCCAGCTTTCCATTTCGCCGTCGGCAAGGACTTCTCATCTTGCTTACAAAGTACGGGCCCATCAGAATGAAGCATTGAAAGTGCCTATAAGCTGGGCATTGTGCATGTATCCCAGAAAGCCCAAGCATTTGACCCCACGAGCCCCATGCTCTTTCCCAAAGGCACACTAAGATATGGCAATCTAATCGAAAAGCTTCTCCTAATAACAAAAGTAGTATACTACTAGAAATCATATTGAAACACTGGTAATAGTGATGGCACAATATCATCATTCCAATACCAACACTGAGAAAAAAGTGCCAGAATGTGCTACACAAGCAACCGATATAAGAAATGACGACAACAAAGCCAGTAAGAAGAACTCAGCCCCTTCCTGCCTTCAGGTTGGACCATGCAGCTAGCTTATGGTCTTCCGGCCAATTCCTGAGTGGCTGTGATCTGTGTTTGAAAGGGTTTAAAAGGGGTTCTGATAAGATATGACCCCAGACCTTTTCAATTTGGACTAAGTAAGGACAGCTCCTTAAATCAAATTGGGGGTGCCATCATAATTGAAACAGCATGTTTCGTCACTAAGGGATATTGGAAGATCTGGGATACTTGTCGCTTTACCAGCAGGGCCGAATTGAGTTGCGTTCCCACGCCGTGCTCACCCCTCGGCGGTTTGGGAACCAAAACGGTTGTCACGAGGGTAGAGGGGGAAAACTTCTTCACCTGGGCATTCTGACAGATCGTAGGCGGGAACCCGCTTGAGGGAACACCACACCAGGCGCCCACAGCGTAGGGCAGTTAGGAAAACCTCATTTCAGCAAAATACACTTCTAGAAACAAGCTGCGGAAGTCTGGGGGGTGGATGCGGACCGGACCCTAGACAGGTGTTCGTACAGGGGCAGGGTGCGGCAGGGGTGGAGGAGGAGGCTCTCGAAACGGATCGGGGGAAGAAGTGGGTGTGAAGGGGCGGAGGGGCTGCAGCACACAATTATTATGCTAAGCCGCTAAGATTGATTAAGTGACAGTGAGAAGTCGGGTTGTCCAAGACAGAAGTCAGCTCCATGAGCCCCAAAACCAAAAAAGACGACGGACTGACCAGTCCGGCTCAGCTTTTTTCAGCACTCAATGCCGCTTCAAGGCCGAAGGGTTTCAAAAAGAATTGAAGCCTTGAAGCCCAGTTTTATGGCTTAGGACCCTATAATAGAGATTTTGGTTAACTAAAAAAAGGAACTACAATGGAGGCTACAGGTATGTCATGAAACCTAAACCGGACAAAACTCTCAAAGACAAGGCCCCCGAAATCCCAAAGCCTCCCGGGCCCCTAGAAGCTAAACGTGCACTGCCAAGCTTCGGATCCCATGCCTGGCATGCGGCTTGGTTGAACAAACCACTCGTGTGCGTGTTCGTTGTGGTTGTGCGGCTGGTGGTGGTAGTGGTGTTGGTGGTGCTGGTGGCAGTTCTGGTGCTGGTGGCACTTCTGGTGCTGGTGGTGCTGGTGGTGACAGTGGCGGTGGCGGTGGCGGTGGCGGCGGCGGTGGCGGTGGCGGTGGCGGTGGCGGCGGCGGCGGCGGCGGCGGCGGTGGTGGTGGTGGTGGTGGTGGTGGTGGTACAAGTGCTATTTCGTGGGTGATATTGTTCATGGTGGTCTTGGTCGTGGTGCTTGTAACAGCAACGAACAACATTCAGAATTGGCTACTTAATGACCAAACAGTCGCATTGGCAGCAGCATTGAGAAGGTGCCTTGAACAATCGAAAGGATGTCAAGCCGACTTTGGTGTTCGGCCAGAGCCTTGCCAGCTGCTTCGGGATGGACGGCACGAGGCTTTCAATGTGAAGCATACGGGCTCAAAGCCCTCTAAAGATGCGTCAGGCTGTCTGAAATTGGCCTTCACTTCAGGGTGCGCGGGTGACTGTAAATCCAGTGCAGGTTAGTGGTGTTCTGCTTTGAGCTCCCTTAACTTCACTTCACATACGCTAAACCTTGAACTATAAGCCTTAAACCCAAAAGCTCGTAAACCTTACAGTATAAGGTTTAAGCCCAAAACACCGGACCCCTCAAGAGTACGACGCGAGTTCCTGAAATCACTTCTTCGCACAGGCTGAGGATATGAATGGCTTCGACACGGGGGACTTCGATTTCTTCGGCTTTTGTGCGTTAGAAGGGGTGTCTACAATCCGGGCTTCGGGCGGCTGCCTGATTCTTACCTCAGACTCTGCAGATATGGGAGTTTCCGAAAATAAAGGGCCCTAATACAGTACCCTCAATAGCAGGATCCTTATCATAAGGACCCCAAAATAAGGTACCCCTAAATTTCGGACACTCCCATATCTTGGAAAGCCTTCAAAGCCCCAACACCACTTCCAACTTCCTGGGAGCCGAGAGGGCCTAGTTTCGGCTTTGGGGAATTAAACTGAGGGTTTAGGGTGTAAGGCTTTGGACTTGGGTATTGGCATTGGGAGCTCTATAAGCTTGAAAGTGTACGTAGCGGGGCTTACGGTTTTTCAGGATCTCAGGCCGAGTTCTTTCGTGTTTGGGACGTTTGCAGTTTGCAAACCCTGAGGACATGGGTGTGGGAGTGACAAGTGTCTGCGCCATGCTCCTACAAGCGAGCTTTGGCGAAGGCTTGGTTTCGAGAACAAGGTGGTTCAGAAGAACTCTAACAACTCCCTGGTGCTTAGTAGGGAATGGGGGAATGGATCCCTAGAGTAGTCCCTATATACAGTAATCCTCAACTATAGTCCCCATTCCCCCATTCCCTACTAAGCACCAGACAGACAAGGTCAGTTGCGTGTGTGGTTTCCGGATCCCGCTTGCACGAGTGCTCAGTTGTGATTTAGGGTTGAAACTGCAAGATTTCGAGGTAAACCCTATCCGAAACCCTAACCCCTTAAACCCTATGTAAACCCCCCAAAAACCCGAAACCCTAAACCTCTGCAAGTTCTCCCTACCCTCAACCCTAAACCCTACCGGGTTTATAAAACCCTGGTACCTTGGAAGCTGCCCCCATCCTGTAATAGTGACCATAAAGATTATATAGGATTATATTAGTACCCTATTATACTCCTATTATACCACTATTACAGGGTGGGGGCAGCTTCTAACTGGTAACCCTAAACCCCTAAACCCTAAACCCTAAACCTTAAACCCTAAACCCTAAACCCTAAACCCAAGTTCGGGGGGCCTGCGGGCCTTAGCCGCGTTTCAGACGGCCTGGCCCTGAACATTCGGAAGCCCCGGAGCCGGACAAAGCATGGGAAGCTGAAAGACGCAAATCTTAGGTACGGCCCCCATACAGTAAGAGTCTATAGTAGGGCTACTATTCAGGTCCTACTATATCTATATTTTATGAATATTATTCAACTATTACTGAGTGGGGGCCGTACCCAACGCAAATCCAAACTTGCCGGACCCATGAAACATCAATGATAGTAACAAGAACAGTACTCACAATCTCACTGTTACCAACAGTCATAATAATAACATCATAATGACAGTAATTGAAATAACAATACTAAGTAAGAATGATACCATTCTTGAAAGTGTGTGGCTACTGCCATCATGATCATTAGGCC